TTCTCCGAAGTGGATGGCGTAACAATGGTAATTTTTTAAACAGCAGCTAATACTTACTTAAGCATTTACCCTCTGCTGGGCACTGTGCTCGGAGTCTGACTGTGGAATGTCTCACTAGCTCCTCACAACCTTAGGAGGGATGCCCTGTTATGTCCCTTTTACAAATGAAAAAACTGAGGCACCGAGCAGTTAAGTTCCTTGCCAGAGTCACACAGTAGGGCCAGGATTTGAACACAGGCAGAGTATTAACTCCAGCGCTAGTCTGAGACAGACAGAGTCCGAGGTAGGCAGAGGGGGGCAGACCAGCGGCAGGCCTGTGATGGCCCAGAACAGAGAAGGGACATTGATTGGTTGGGTGATGGATTGGCTGATCCCACTGTGATTCCCTAGCGGGAATCTTTGGTCTGAAGACTTTGGTTTGAAGGGAGAAGCAGAGGGACACGTACAAAGAGAGACACAGGAAAACAGGACCAGCGAGGGGAGCCGGAACGGGTTTCTTCCCACCTCCACCTGCCAAGCCTCCGCGTAAACCCCAAGACCTGTGAGCACCCCGGGGGAGCCGGGAGCCAGGAGAGGCACGTGGGCCGGCGCAGGGCGGCCGGCAGCAGGCTGGCCGCTACCTCCCAATGCTGACGGAGCTGCTGGCCGCTCTCCAGGTGTCGCCCTGCAGCGAGGAGCTGTCCTTGCCACAAAGGCACAGGGAGGGCCTAGGAATCAGGCTCCCTTCCTCCGTGCTGCGGGGCGGGGGCCGGGTCGGGAGGAAGGGAGAGGGCCGGGGGCAGGGGAGAAGGGGTCCTTTCTGGAGATGTTTCAGCATCGCACGCGATGGCCGTTCTCCAGAGGTGCCCATGGCTCTCCTTCTCCCCAAGTCCCCGAGGAGGCCTGCAGGCCACGTGGGCTCGCAGGGGAGGAAGAGGGGAAGAATCAATAGGATTGATCCGGGGCTATATTTCATCCTCGCTGTGGCTCTAATTGGCCGTTTCAGCTGTGGAGTCAGCGAGGTGTGGGTGGCCACTCCTCTGGGGACAGAATTCGTGGGACATGAGCTCAGAGGGCACGGGTTTGGACTGAGAATCAGTGCCCCTCCCAGCTGGGAGAGCCCCGAGGGGAAGCTGGCTATGCTGCACAGTAAGAAGCTGACTGGCCGGCAGGACCTACTGTGTGCGGGGCACTTGCCCTAGGGGAGCCTTGCCCTCAGCACTCCCAGAAGTACACGTGAGCCATCGTGCACTGGCTCGGGCATTGATTGGGCACCTGTTTATGGCTGGCTCTGTGCCTGGGGACACAGCAGTGGACGAAACAGACAAAAACCCTGCCTGAGTGAGCGTGCATTGTAACAGGAGAGGCGGAGAGTGATAACTAAACAGATAGCAGAACGTCAGGCAGCGGAAGTGCTAGCACGAGAAACGTTCCCGAGCGGGGACGGGGGAGGCACTCTCTGCAAGGGGACAGCTGAACAGAAGCCAAGAGGTGTCTGGAGAGGAGCGTTCTCGGGCCCAGGGGGCAGCCAGCACAAAGGCTCCCAGCTGGGAACGCACAGCACATCCAAGAGCCGCAGAATGGAGCAGAGAGCCTGGGGTCGGAGCGGCTACCACGAGCCAGGCTGCCCTGACCTGGATGCCTTCGAAGTTAGAGGAGAGCCTTTGGGAGCAGCGACCATCTTGCATTTGGCTGCGTGTGGAGGGTGAGCACTGGGTGTCGGGCTCAGAGAGCGGGGTCTCGGCTGCCTCAGCCACACCAGCCAGCCCACGGGACCCTGCTCCTGGGACCTTGCTCCTGGCTCCCCTCCCGCAGGTGCCAGAATGAGGGTGACAGGGACTGGAGCATCCCCTGCCACTCTCATCACCAGCTCAGCAAAAGCCCCGGCCCTCCCCACATATCTTCCTGCGGAGACACACAGCCAGCGCCATTTCACAGCTCAGAAAACTGAGTCCCCAGGGCACACCGTGACAGAGTTCAAACCCAGGCAGGACTCAAACCCAGGCTGACCAACCCAGAAGTCTTGGTCTCAGCCCGTCTACCCACCCCTCGCTGCTCCCCGACACCAGTCCCTTTCCTGGGGAACGAGTGCGTGGACCCCAAAGGTGGGAGCGAAGGTCTTCGCCGTGACCTCACTTCCTGAGGGCAGAGAAGCCCACAGAGCCAAAGGTCAGGGCCCATCCCTCCCAGCTCCACTTCCAAATGCCCTTGAGGGATGAGGGGTCCCCCGAGGGTCACCTTTAAGCTGATACTGGAAGGTGGGGAGCCCTCAGGAGCACCCAAGGCTCAAACCACAGCGAGAGGGGCAGAAATGGCCAGATCTGGTCAGGGGAGTGAGTACGGGATAGGGGACCCCGTGACCCAGGCCCCTGAAAGGCAAGTCCACGGAGCCAGGGGCACGGGGAGACCCTCTTGCAGAAGGGCATTTTGCGGGTGCCCCGCCGACTCCCCTCAGATGTCACCAGACTGCTCACCCCCTGAAGCAGGCCGAGAGCGCCTGGGCAGGGCACCCCAGGGTGCGCCTGCACCCCGTGCCCGCCCACGGAGTCTAGCATGGGATCTGAGGTCCGGAGTGTGCGTGGGGATGCCAGATTCCAGGCGTGAATAGGATCCTGTTCGTGCTTGATCTTCACTGAAACTCCCAGGCTGGGCTCTAACCGGGTACGAATGCGAGTCTCCGATGGCATCCCTCGCTCCACGGGGCCAGGCCCTGAGATGGAGCGAGCAATTTCCTGGACCATCCGGGGTTCCCTGACCAGGGACTACTGGCTGCCCCTCCCCCACAGGTAGGGCAGGCCCCCGACACAGCTCCGTCCTCCTGGCGTGGCTTGGCCACATAAATCACCCTCTCAATAATATTGGTATTGATTATCTAGATTGGAAGCCTCAATTGGCTCCATTGTCTTGCTTCCTTTCCTGGGGTTCACAGATGGGGTCCCATCCCCCCATCTGTGTCTCTAATGCGACATTTAAATGGAGTGGCCTCAGTGCCAGCAAGGCCCCGTGCCGCCCTGGGTGCTGGGGGGATGGGAGGGGAGCGAAGCGCATATTCCTGGAGAGGGACTTATTAAAGCCCGAGTTCATGGAGCCGGAGAAGCAGCCAAGATGGGCTGGGCCCCGGACCCTCCACGTGCAGGACCAGAACCGCCTGAGCCTGGTGAGAAAAGCTGGGCCCGGGCCCCCAGACCCACTGAGCCAACGTCACACTGAGCGAGAGCCCTCGGCGATCCCCACGTGGTCACTGCTCTCGCCACCCTGGTCGTGTCCAGGAGGGAAGCTGAGGCCCAGAGAGGCCAAGGGCTTGCCTGAGGGCACACAGCAGGTGAGACTCCCCGGGTCTCTAGTTGGGGAAGAGGAAACATGGGGGCCAGTGGCTTCTGGAGAGAAGGGCCCGCTATGTGCACAGGCGCCTCTCCCTCCCGAGTTCCTGCCTCCTGTCTCAGGGCGTGGACAGATGGTTCAGACCAAAGTCTGTCCCCCCTGTGCTCTCCCAGCCTGGAGGGGCCAGCCAGAGCTGGGGGGACTCCCCAGGAGGGCACCTCCCTCCCGCCCGGGCCAGCCAGCTGCCCCTTCCCTGGCAGCAACTGGACAGCAGCTCCCAGGGAAAAGCACCACCTGGGTCTGCCCAGCACAGCCAGACGTCCAGGAGGGGGGCACGGCGGGACGGAGGCCCCGCAGAGGCAGCAGCAGAGGGCCTGGGAGCGGTGGGGACCAGGGGCGCGAGCTGGGGTCCAGGGAAGGAGGCAGAAAGGCAGAGATGGTGGGGAGGGGGCAGGCAGAGAGGACCAGACACAGAGGGGGAGGGATGAAGACCAGGAGGGAGGGAGAAGGACCCAGAGGAGAGAGACCTGGGTGAGAGGAGAAGCAGCCAGACTGAGACAGGAAGGAGGGAAAGAGGGAGGAAGGGGAAGGGAGCAGGAAAGAGTGATGGGCAGGGAGCGGGAGGGAGGCAGCTGGCCTGGAGAAGCCGAGCCAGGGTGGCCCAGCCCTGCCCGGCCTGGCCTGGCCCAGCCCCCAGGGGCGGTGCAGCTGCCACACTAGGGCCCTACCACGGGGTCAGTCCTGCCCTGGGGCTGAGGGAAAATAAATGATGTCCAAGATAAAAGGTCCGAGAAAGTATTTGTCTTGTTGTCACATCTTGACTGCAATGGGCAGGGGCTGGTGGGGCATCATCCCAGAAAAAAGCCGGGGCTGGCAGGCCCCCAGCACACACACGAGACCCGGCCCCGGCCCCGGCCCCAGCCCCAGCCTCAGCTACCCCAGCCCCAGCCCCCACCTTCCCGGCCTAACAGCTCCCAGAACCTGGCCTGAGAAGGCAGGAATGGTGGGCATGGTCAGTATTTGCTCAGCATCTATCCCCAAATCCCCTCCAAGCGCTGGGAAGTTGGATCCTGTCCGTGTCACTCACTGCGGAGGGTCACTGTGAGCTGGGAGCTTGGGCAGAGAAGGGCGTCAGGGTGTCTTACTCCTCCCAACCCCTCTGCAAAGGCAGGTGATGGTTCCCAAACACCGAATTCCAGGGTCAAGGCCAAGTTAAGAGGACGGTGGCCCAAGGTACTGTCCCTGTGCCTCGCAGGTACGCAAGCTCAAGCTCACACTCACACACACACACACACACACACACACTCACTCACACGCACACTCACACACCAGGCTGTTTCTCACCACCACCAGCATTCAAAAGCATTTCCCAGAGGCTCCCACCCCTCTGCTCAGAACCTAGGGCTGGTGAGCAATGCCGCGGGGAACAGCCGCGGGCTCTAGGCCATCCACTGTGGGCCACTGATGGGCTTTACCAGCAAAGGCACTTTTTATTCCCCTCTTCCGTTAGTCCTCCCAACGAGGCTCTCAGGGACGCACCCCACATCCCCATGTCACAGACGAGGACACTGAGGCCCAGCAAGGCTCCGTGTCAGGGGCAAGATCACACAGCCAAGGCCGGGCAGAGCTGGGATTTGACCCTGAGGTCTCCGAGGTGGGGCAGCCTGTGCACGCTGGGGCAGGAGGGGGTTGGCACCTACCATACTTGTCCCCGTCCTCGCCACGGGCGCTGATCCTGCGGCCCAGGACCTGGATGTGCTTCCCGCTGGTCCGGCTGTAGAGCTGGTACAGCCGCAGCTGCTTACGGCTCACATCGTCCCGAGCCCGCGTCTGGTTCTCCACGTGGATCCGGAAGTCCACGTTCTCCTCGGCCGCCAGCACCTGGGCAGGGCAAGGAGTGACGGTGAGACCCTTGGAAGACGGGGTCCCCTGCAGGCCAGGGCCTCCTCTACGCCAGCTCTGGGCCAGGCCTCAGCGCACACGCACAGCTGCCCCGATGCCACCCCCATTTCCCACATGAGGCAGCGAGGTGAGGCAAGTTGCCCCAGGTGGCCATGCCAGGAAGCGGCGAAGATAAGAATCAGGCCCAGGTCTGTTTGAAACAAAGCTCGCTATCTTCCCACCACAGCCTCACATCAGAGCAAGAAGTGCCGAACGAACGAACGGAGGTTTCTCTTTCGACCTTGGGCACACAATTTGCTTGGTCTCAGATTCCAGAGCCCCTGCTCTGGCCACATCCCAGGGGGCTGTGAGGATATGGAGATGGGAGCGGGATGGGGGGCATATGACTGCTGTCCGGGTCCTTGGCGGGGAGGAGGGAGGCCTGACAAGTCTCATCTCATTCCGGAAAGAATGGGCCTGATGCTGAGGGAGCCCCTCCCATGCCCTGAGGGTCCTCATGCTCCCCAGGCCACCAAGCATTTCCCCACATCCCGTCTTCTGCTGGAGAAGCCTTCGCTCTGCATCGCCATCACGACACCCTGTATCCCTGGAGCTTTAGTTCATGTCTGACCACATCCTCCGCGAAGCCGCCTCTGGCGACGCCAACACTTACTCTCCAGCCTCCCTTCGCCAACACAGCCTCTCACCTGCACAACTTGCTCCCACATCCTCGCGGGCTCCTGCTCCCACCCTTGCCCCCTGGTTGTCTATCCTCCAGCAAACCCAGTCGCCTCGCCTCCCTCGTGTGATCCTCCCCCTCCAGGGCCTCCCATCACATTTAGATGAAGTCCCCACCCCGACTGCCTTCATCTCCTATCACCCCCTCTCCACCAGTTCCACGGGCTGCCACTTCACACCTCAGAGCATGTCAAACACAGAGTGCACACCTGCCCCAGGGCCTTTGCACTGGCTCCTCCCACTGCTTCCAGGCTTTCCCCAGATTTTCACATTCTGGCCTCCCTGCTTCCTTTGGGTCTCTGCTCAAATGTCACATCCTGACTGCTTTTCTGAGGCCAGGCCCCACTCTGTCACTATCCGTCTCTCAACCACGCTTTGTTTTTCTTTCTAACATTTATCAACCTGCCATAACATCTCTTTGTCTGGTTTTTGTCTGTCCTCCCCGAGCAGACTGGCAGCACCAGGAAAGCTGAAATGCTCCCTTTGTCGTTGGCTGCTCTATCCCCAGCATGTATAGCACAGTAGAAACTCAAACATTTGTTGAATGAATGAAAAAAGAAATGAACAAATTAACATTGAAAAGATCTAGAGTCCTGTCATTCCATTTAACATTAAATTGGGTTTTTCTATGGCCTGCTAATGGCGCGCCTGCCCTAACTCACCTTAACCAGAAAGCTGAACAGTTCTTAAAGTTCCAGGTTTATTCCCATTTAAGCACACAGGACCTCAGCCCGCTCAGCCCACAGCAGAGCTCTTGGGACCTGGGCTGCCGCTACATCAGCCCTCAGCTGTGAGCGGCCAGATCAGGGACCGTGTTTCCCTCATGGCTACACCCCACGCCCAGCCCGGGGCCTCTGTCCCCCAGCTGACCTGCACATCATCCTCCACCCCAGCCGGGACCCCCAGGCACATCCGAGGGACCACGTCATTTAACCCTCACTGCCATCCTCCGATTGGATGGGTTAACCCACATTACAGATGAGGGAACTGAGGCTCCAAAGCTGAATTGACGAGGTCACAGAGCAGGCAATGGCAGCCCAGACCTCGTGGCCCCAAAGCCCAGCTTTCAGCCCCGTCTTGCTGCACCCCGTCCCCACCGGTCCCCCCTTTCCTGGGCCCGACCAGGGCCATCAGAAGCAGGACCGAGGTTCAAAACCCAGGGTGTGCCGCTCCCTAGCTAAGGGACCCCAGGCACGTTACTAACCTCACTGGGCCTGTACCCTCGCCTCTAAAACAAGGGTGCTGGCCCTAAACGCGTGAAGTCCTAGCACAGTGCCGGGTACAGAGTAAGTCTCGGTAGGAAACTACTGGGAGAAGGTCAGGCAGCCCTCGAGCCGGCTCCCCGGGAAGCCCGCCAACAGAAGCCTCTTGCGGCGCAAGCAGATCACAGGCCCTGTCCCTAAGGAGGCACTTCTGAGGCACAGATACAATTTGCGAAGGTATTGCTGCCTTTGATCCTCTGGACAACCCTGTGACGTGAGGATGCTTAACACAGCCATTTAACAGATGGAGAAACTGAGGCTCGGAAAGGGTAAGTCGATTGCTCTGACTCACAGTCTGGTGACGCGGAGCCTGGCCGCTGGCCCACCGAGCGTACACACCCTTCACTCCACCACCCTCATCCCCAGCTCCCCCCCCCCTTTTTTTTTCTTCTCCCCGCCCCCCACCACCATCCACAGCCAGGACCCGATCGTGTCACATCCTGATGCTCAGGGAGGGAGCCCCCTCCCCCCTGGTGAGCATGTGTCCTAAGACCTCCCACCCGTGGCCCTCAACCTTCCCGAGGTGGCCTGGCCCTGGCCCCTCCCCCAGGGGCAGGCGTCCGGCCTCCCTCCCTGTCCTCCAAGCCTCCTCCTGCTCACAGGAGACCTTATCGACCAGAGGTCAAACCAATCTCCTCACCCCGGGCCCCGAGGGGAGCTGCCCTGCCAGAGCCAGCCTCCCATTACCGATTTTCTCCCTGGCGCGCTGGACGGAGACGGGCGGTGACCCGGGGTCAGCAGGCACTATCCGGTGGCCCTGCCCCAGGATGTGGGAGGGATAATCCATCTTGCCCAGCTTCCACCATTCAAGCCACACTCTGTGGTCCCATCCATCCCCAGGGGGGCAGCGGGGGTGGCCTCTGACACGGAAACACTCCGTCCTCCCGAAAAGGCAGGAGGCCCCTGGGCTTCTGGGGAAGACCTCGGGGGGCTCCAGGCCTTTTCGGAGGGGAGGGGAGGGCGGTGTCCTCTGCCCAGGGCACCCTGCCCCCTCTGCACACCTGACCCCTGCCCTCAGGTGCCTCGGCCGGAAGCCTTTCCTGCCTGCCCACCCCAGGTCGGGTTGGGGCCTCCGGACGGAACTGCAATGGCTTATTGTCCCCAGCGCCCAGCTGGTCTGGGCCATCCTGGATCTAGCTCTGCCCCCAGGAGGCGCCCCGCAAATACATGCTCAACGACTGTGGCTGGGACAAGGGAAACCTGGCGGCCAAATCAGCCCACCGCTCACCACCCAGCAGGCAGAGGCCCAACGCAGGGACCCCAGGGGGCGTGAAAGCCATCAGCTGCTAGCTTTCCTCGGCTGAGAAGCCTTTAGACATGGTACCTTATCTGGGCCCCTCAGCCACCCATGGAGGGGGCACCCGTGAGAGCCCATTGCACAGATGGGACCTCGGCGGCAGCTCTCCAGGCACAGAGCTCCCAGGTCTGCCCGCGGGGCTCACACAAGCAGCCCCGCCTTTCCTGCGAGCTGGGAGGCAGGTCACCGGCCTCTAGGTCACTGGCCCCGCTGCCTAAGAGGCGGCCTGTCTCCCGGGCCTTCCTAGAACAGTCAGCGCTGCTCTCTGCCGGGGACACCCCTCCAGGTGGGGGGTTAACTATTGACTCCCTGACCCAGGGCTGCCCAGGAGCAACAAGAACCCCACAGGTCCAACTCTCCCCCCAGCTCTGCCCCCAGGCTCCCGCAGGACAGGGTGCGAGTGGGACTGGGCTACCCCCTCCACCGCAGCCTCACCCTCGGCAGCCCAGCTCCCTAAGGCACAGGCAGGCTGTTTCCCTGCTCCGAGCTCCGCCCCGCCCGCCCGAACCACCCACAGGCGCCTCCCCAGGTGGGAACGATCTTTGTCATCGAGCCCCTGCCTACCTCCCAAGCCTCCTCTCTGAGGGCTCCTGGGGGGGGGGGCCTTCTATGGGATAAAAAGAGGCTGGGGTGAGCCCCCAGCCCACTGCAGCTTCCAGACATCAACCCAGGTCCCCCCTCCCACCAGGGCAACAGCCGCCACAGCTGCCCGGGAGATTTCGGCCTCGCCCACCCACTCGCGGCTCTGAAGGCAGGTCTGGGGGCTTCCTGTCTCTTCCCGGGCCACAGACCCACCTCCCACGGACGTCTGCCCCATCCCACATCACCTTCCTACACACACAACACAAACACGCCACACACGCCAACCACCCACAGCCAGCACCGACCGCAGGTGGTGTCCTGCTAGCTTCCTTTGGCACCTGTAGCATATTATGTACCTAACTTAGAGCCTGGCCCACCCCAACTCACCCACTGCTTTGATTTCTGTGGCCCTCCGTTTTCTCACTAGCAGCATGGGAATTGTTCACAGTATTTATCTCAGAAAAAAAGTATACTAATAGCAATAGCCACAGCCTTTTCCCTTCTTTGGTTTGGTTTTCTAAACAGCCTACTTACTGAGCACGTCCTCTGTGTTAAGAACCACATTAATGATCCTACGTCATCCCCAGAGCGGCCCTGGGACCTGGTATGATTATTATCCCCATTTTACAGATGAGGAAACTGAGGCCTCGTCCAAAGTCAGAACTGGTGAGAACAGGAATCCAGATTCAAATCCAGCTCCCCCGCTGTCTATTCTAGAAACCACCTCCCCCTCGCCGGCTTCCATCTCCTTCTCCCCTCACCCACCCCTCTCTCCTAAGCAGGACAGCAGTTGGTTCTGGCCACAAGCCATTGCTGGGGCAGGGACTGGCTGAAGGCCTTGGGCTCACTCCCCGACCCAAGAGAGCAGGGTGGGGTCAGACTGCCCCTCCTGCCCAGGTCCCCATCCTTGAGGCCGCATACAAGCCAGCCGTGCCCCTGTCTCCAGGCAGCCTGCCCAGAAAAGGGAGGGTCTCCCTGGTCCCAGGAGGGGCAGCCCACAGACTTCCGGCCACATTCCACCACCGCCAGCCTCCTTCAGTGGCAGCAGCCTGTGCCAGCCGTGCCCAAGCCTTCTCCAAATTCTAGATTCGAACCTGAGGCCTGCACCCCATACTCCAGGA